TCAGCTGCCCTCGGACTTGTGATCCTCCTGCCTCAGCCTCCCAAGTGGCTGAGATTACAGGTACGAGTCACCACACTTGGCTCCAGAATGTTTAAAGAAAGATATGATCACATTATATTTCTACTTGGCAGCTCTGGTAGAAGTAGAAGCAAGCACACGCATGGTGTGTGTGGACACACGTGCTACACCGGCGCTGTAGGCGCACACAGTCACACAGCCATTCCCTGGCATGACCCCGAGAGGGCCTGGACCTGGGACGCCCCAGTATTCCTGAGCACCCCTCACCCAACCTTGGCTTTAAGTGCCCTCTCCGACCAAGCAAGCAGTGTTCGTTGAAGAAACAGCCAGTTCCGGGACAAAAGCAAACAGGAGAAGCGCCTGGAACATCTCCGGTCAGAGGTGAGCAAGGGCAGGAGGCGCAGAAGGGGCAGTTCCCACTGGCCAGCCTGGAGGCAGCTGTGTCAGAGATAAGTGAGGACAGTGACAGATCACACCATGGAACAGAGCAGGAAACGTCCAGAGTAAGAGGGGAAGAAACTAAAAGAGGAAGAGGAGAGGAGGGAGGCGGCAGACTGGCCTCGCTCCACGGCCGAAGAACTGTGCTTACGGCGAGGGCAACAGTGAAAGGCGGCAGCGAAGTCTGGCCAAACCCATCTTCCTTGAGAAATTAAACTCAGCATCCCAGCAACTGGACAAATCTACACTATGGGCCACCTGCTGGGGTCCAAGGAAAAGGACATGGCTCGGCGCCCTCCACAAGGGCAGACACGCTACCACAGTCTGTGATCTTCCAGTGTCAAGGTCAAAGAAAACAAGAAAGGCAGAGAGGAGCTGGCAGGAAACAAGGGAGCGCCAGGCTGACCGGAAACCCGGGTCCCGTCGTTGCCCGTGCTGTGGTCACAGGGACGGGCACCCTTGGTGTTGGGCCTGCCAACCCACCCACAAGTGGCCCAAGAGAAAGCTACATGCCTGAGAACTCAGCTAGAAGCCAGAGCCGTCTGCACATTTCTGTAAAACATCCACCACGCCAAACAGGTTCCTCGCTGCCCTGAGAGTGGGCCTTCCCTTGCCTCCCCTGCACCTCAGGGACTCCACATCACAAACTTTGGCCAGCAGGGAGCCTAACACTTGCATTCAGCTGTGCCCTGTAACCAATAGCGGCCCTGGGGCACCCTCTGGGCAGCCCCAGGCAGGGGCTCAGGAGCTATTCCTGGAAGGGGGGAGCAGAGGAATGGAAAAGCGCCCCCCACTGGGAGACCAGACTCTGCAGGGTCCCCAGAAAACACCCAGAGTGTACAGCACCCTTCTGGCTTGCTCCAGGAAAACCAGGTCTCAAGCTCAGCAAAGCACGTGGTAGGTGGTGCCCGTGGTAGGTGGTGCGCGCAGTCGGTGGTGCCCGTGGTAGGTGGTGCCTGTGGTAGGTGGTGCCCATGGTAGGTGGTGCGCGTGGTAGGTGGTGCCCGTGGTAGGTGGTGTGTATGGTAGGTGGTGCCC